ATTGAAATATTCCTTATCGATTTCACGTAGTGCCGCACAATCTAATGGCCGAAGCGGAAAAACGATAATGAGCCTCCTCGTCTTCGACTGAATACGCTTGCTAATTTCAACCGAACTGTTCATCTGTGACACATAAATTTCATCATCGCTCATGTATTAAGCAGCCTCGAAGGTGCCAGGATAAAACAAGCAGGAATGCCCACCGAATGGGAAAAAAATGGAACATACATCCCAACGACGTTATAAAGTTATGGTAACGTCATTTAAACGGAGCTGCATCATGAGCCATTTTCGAATAGGCAAAAAGCAATTGATGTTCGGGTGTTTTTGTGTATGTGGACGTCGTTGTCTGAAATGCATCAAGATCGAGTGGAAAGCCACTTCGGTTGGTGTGTGTGTTTTTTTTATTCTCTTCTTCTCTTCACCATGTGTCTTTAATTTTTGATTGATGATGGTGGTGGAATTGGTGCGAACCAACTCAAAGCCACTACTACATTGCACACAGTCCCGACTAAATGGCCCAAAAGCAGGTATATATGTATATATGATCTTGTGACGTTATGGTAATTCCATAAACTTTTCCAATTGAAAACGATTCTTCTTCTTCGTTCGTTCGGTTTTGGTTCATTCCACTCTTGAAAATACCAAACGAAATCCTTTCGCTTGAACTTCATCATTCGATTGATGAAGTAGTCATTGCGCCGCATTTTTGAAATTAAAAGGATATAACGAAGGTGCTTTCAATGGAAACACTCAATCAGAAAGTAATAATTACTTTTTGTTGATGGAGAGCCGCATCAAGAGAATCTGCCTCAAGTTGGTAAATAAAAGAGCTGCAAATAAAGAAATAAAACGAGCGACTGAAGAATGCATCGTTCATCGTTGTCGATGTATTAGATTAAGGGTACCGATAATGTAAGGATTTTTTTTTTCTCGTTGCTCTTGAGCAGAGCCAAAGAAAAAAAAAAGTCCACAAACATATGAGATGTTGTTGATGATCGACGAGCGAGAGGAGAAAAAAGAATCATAAAAAGAATGAAACAAACAAACTAAAACTGTAAATAATAAAAGATGAAGATAATAAAATAGGCCTTGATACTGTATCTGCATCTTTCAACAGATCAGTTCTACGACCCAAAACAACAACAACAAAACAAGCTATCCGAAAGAGAGAAAAAAAAGGAATCTCGAAAAATCGGTTGCGTTTTTTTCCTTTCTTTTTATTCTTTCTGCTCCGTGATCTTTTGATTTCAATGCACTCATGAACTTGAACACATTCAAATTTCATGTTTACTTTTTTTTTAAATGTCTATATTATGTGACCTATTCATTATCGGAATGTATGCATTCTTTGGCTCCTCTCCTCTTCGGCGATGCAGAGATTTCTTCAAGATATCGCACGTGTACACAGCTGCATCTAATCGCATTTCGACTGCATCGGATACAATTGCTGTGTTGCAACGACGACGACTCCTTTCCATTCTTTCTTTCTCTTTTTCCCTCTATCGCTTGCTGCGTTCTCTCTTTCAGCCAGTCACTGTGAGAACAATATTCCATGTGAAAATACTGAACTGTTTTTCTTTTGTCGTTCATTTTTACTCGATAATTGTATTAAAACATTTTTATGCAGTTGATTTCGAATGGGAGATAATTTCCGTTGAATGACAAAAATAAAATCGTTCCTTTTTTTTCGGTGTTTGTGTATGTATGTGCAACGATTTGTGCCTTGTGTGTATATGCTTTTGACTTTTTTCAACTCTTTGTCGTTGAGAATGAGTTGACAGGCGATGAAAAAAAAAATCGAACGAACAAAACATAGTCGGAGTGGCATTCTTTCGGGAGGGAAACAGCGAAATGCAGTGCAAGCCATATTTCTTCGTTTTAAAAATTTGTAATTTAATATATTTCACATATTCGCTGCATTAATGTGCGTTTCTTTTCGTTCGTTTCGTGAACTCTTCTCAGCAATTTCTTCCGCAGCATTTTTCATTTCGAAATAAACACACACAAAAAACATGGTCGTGATAGTGTTTTGTTGTTTCTCATATCGGATACTTAAATTTTTTTTTTTGCTTTAGTTGTTTGCCTTGTTCAGGTTTTTTTTTACGAATTCACATAAAGCACAATGAAAATATGCCAGGTTTGAGTTCCTGCTGTGATTTTACAACAAATAAAAATCAAGCGAAGAAGGCGAAAAAAAAAGAGAATAAAATGCGCCGATGAATAACATATCAATACCTGTTGATATGAACAAACGAAGATGTAAATCCTTACGTACTAATTGATCGTCGATCCTCTCGCAGCCCAAGCGAACACATAAAAAAAACAGACACACATAAATGCGTTTTTCTCAGGCCCGCCAACCAGCCAGCCATATATTCAAAAGTGGCCATAAGATGAATGCGTAGCAAACGGCCAAATGTTCGGTGTTCAAAGTGGAAAAAGTCGAGAGGATTTGTTGTGTACAACAATCGACTCCGGCACAGTACAAATGATGATACTTATAAAATATCTATTCAATATAAATTAATAGTGGATTGAAAGAAAAAATTTGTAAGTGTGGATATTTTCCAATTGTGTGCCTTTGTTCGATCGATCGGATCTGTACGGCATCTGGTCGTTTATTGAATGGCTTTGTGATTCAACAACGATTATTTCGTCGTTGTCGTCGAGGAATGTGTGTCCACTCGGGAATCGACATGTGTTGTGTCGATTGAATGCGGCTGCATTGTATTAGATTCGGTGCTGTTGTCACTCTTTTTTTTTTGAATTTTTCCGATAAATTATGGTAATCACAAATCGGATTGTGAATGATCATAAGAATGCACTTGGTCTTTTTCTCTCTCAATCATCCTCACTTTTCGTTAATGATTCGAGGTATTTTGTCTTCAATGACCCGCCATAAATACACACAATTCACGGAATTTATTTTCTCTCCTCCCCAATCACAATCTTGTCTTCACTCATTTATTTTGTTACTGTCTCTCTTTCTCTCTCTCTCTCTCTCTCTCTCTCTCTCTCTCTCCGAACATTCGAAATGATTAATCTAACATGTTAATTGCTCAGCAATCGTATAGTCGTAAATAATTTGTTGCTTTGTAACACTTCAAGTAAATGTTGTTAATTGATTGTAATAAAATAGACCTGTTTATAGCATGCCGGTTTTCTTCTCTTTCGAATCGGTCACATCGAATCATAATTTGATTCTTTTCTTCGTCTCCGACTCTGCCTATGTTCCTGAATAAAAGTGGTTAGACAACGAGATTTCGAAAGTTTTATTACTAAACATTTTCATAAAGTAACGATCTACTAATGGCGAATTCAACTGGTAATTCATTTGCATCGAAATCACTTGAGCTACCATTAATTTCAGTGTTATATCGCACCGTTGGGAGTGTCATCAATTAGGTAAATGAGCGATTTTTCGTCATGCCATCACTCCGTTGTCATATCGAACATGGCACACAGTTAGAACCATTATCGACAATGTGATTCGATGAAATCAACTGAGAGTTGAGCGAGAGATAGAGAGAACTAAACAGAAAAAAATTCATATTGATTGAATTTGTAACGGTTCACATTTAATATTCGATATAGTCACATACATCACGAAACACGAAATGCAAATCGATCGATTGGATTTACAATCAAATGAAACAGACAATAAATCAAAACCATATTTCCTCTCTGTTTTCCTCTTTCGTTCACGCCGATTGGTGAAAAGAACCAAATTTTCTTCCATTCTTCCATTCGTCATCATCATCATCGGTGCATATTTTTGTTATTATGCATGTCTTTTTTTCGGTTCGATTCCATAATATTTCAGGTTCGACATAATTTTTGATTTCGTTGAAGTCGAACAAATAAAAACGTGCTGCCTTAATTCACAAACAATGGTTGCACGTCAAAAAGCCGAAAAGAAACACACGAAAAAAAAACAAAACGAACCAAAGTAAACTGATGTGATTTCGTGAATTAGTGAATAATCGTGAACAATTTATTTATTATTTAAATTTACAAGGTATTGAGGCTCGTTCCTGTTTTTTCGTTTTGTTTTGTGAGAGACATTCGTTTAATGTGACGTTTAATGTGAAACGAATCGAAATTTATATGTTAAAATGTCTTGTCTTGCATTTTAATCGGTTAGTCAATTGCGTACACGTACCCGAACCAATCGAACACACAGCTTCGCTCCGCTCACTCACAGTTCAATTTAGTTTTATTCATAATACACAATTGATACTTTCAATCATATTTTCGGTTGACTCCAGTCATTTTTTATGTTTTGTGGCTTTTCTTAATTTTTGGAGCCGCCAATCAAACTCTGAATACATACACACACACACAGGGTAAATAATACGTGGGTTGAGGTGCTTTTTTTCTCTGTACATTCCATTTGTTATACTACACATCGAGCAAAAGAATGAAAAAACAAAACAATACAGAACATGCGGAACGCAGAACAGCGAACGGCAAAAAACAAACAACAGCCACACATTTCTTTCATTTCGCTTGAAACAGCGCGATCATGATTGATTCATGATCGTGTAGAAAAAGAGAGAGAAAAAACAACAACTTCAAATTAAATATGATGGTCGTTTTTGTTGTTGTACGTTAGGGTCATGTTTGATGGTGCAAATTACATGCGCATTCTTGTTGCTATTCTTTTTTTTTCCTGCATGATAATTCTATGGAATCCTCTTGATGGCGAATTTGCGCCTCTATTTTTCGCTTACATAGTCATATAGCAAATAAATGACACATCATTTGTAATAAATCGGTGAAGACAGTTCCCATACCAAATACCAAGTGATTCCTCCACCTCCGATGGGTGAGCTCTCTACTGCGAATATGTGCAATTAATATTTATTTCCACATGCAATCGCATGCTCACCTCGACATCCACAAAAATGATAAAGCTTTTATAATAAACAACCTTTTTTTTCCATTCTATAATAATAACGATTTTTTTCTCTTTCTTCTCTCTTCTCTCATTACAGTTTTGAAGAAGCAGTTCAAAATTTCCCCGCAATCGATTCGCGTTGAGGCTAATGGACGAGCTGAAATAACGTGTAGCCCGCCATTAGGTGTGCCAATACCGAAGATTCAATGGCTGAAAAATGGATCGCCGCTGATACAGGATGCATCGGTGTTGGTGACCGGCGAGGGAAGTGTTCTGATTACGCATGCATCAATGACGGTATGATTGATTCGATGTCATTAACATTGATTACCATCCTCCCTCCTCACGTTTACTTGCTTTTTTTCTCCTTTATTTATCGACTGTAATCAACTGTTTGTGTGAGTGTGCTACGACGCTCACACAAACTGAAATGATATTGAACTCGTTGAGAAGCACACAACCACTAGTTCAATCCTCTTCAAACTTCCAGTTTTACTAAACTCTATTCCATGGCTCTTGTTAATTTGGTCTCTGTATTTCTTTTTCTTTTTTTCCCTGTCTACGGTCGGCATTTAAGGACATGGCAAATTACACATGCGTTGCAGAAAACATCGCCGGAAAGAGATTATCTGATCCAGTTTCATTAACCGTATATGGTAAGTAACGTTGAATCACTTCATTTTTTGTTGTTTGCATTTCAAATTCGATATAATTTTGGTTGCGCTGTTTGATGCTCCCCCTCATTCGTTCAATAAGTCGGTTTAATGCGCAAAACGGATTTTAGGACTGTGGGTTGTTGAGATCAAATTGCGAATTAATCGTGTGCCAATCGAGAGCCACCGCAGTAGCTGTCATCAGCTCTGACATGTTCCAAGAACTATGGTGCACACAAATCGCATAAACATTTAAGACGCAAAAGATACGTTCGCACAATTTAATCGCTACATTTAAACAAATCAAAAGTTCGTGAATGCAAATTGAATTTAGAGGTTGAAATTCCGAGTTCACGGCATTCGTTGGAAACTTGCTGAATCAAGCCGTTTCTTTTTTTTCTCATCTTATTTGAATCTGTGTTCTTTCGTTTTATTTGATCTTGCTATTGAAATAGAGCGAATCATCAGTTGACTCCCGAACAAAGCCTGTTTAAATTATATGTTTTTTTTTGTTCACAACATCTCTTGAATGCTCTCTGCCTCTCGGATGGATTTTGTGCTTGCCTTGATTCATGCAATGCTTTTGATTTCATTCTGAAACCATTCTGATTAAACTTCGTTGAATCTCTTCTTCATTCTTTTTTTCTCGTCTGGGCCGCGCAGCTCTTCGTCAATGGCATTTCGACTGCATTTTGTGCGCTAACAGTAGTAGTTCAGATCAAGGAGTTTTATGTAGAAAATGTGTTTGTGTACATTAAGTACTGAATAAAAGATGAAACAAAAGAAATCAACAAAACAGCAGAGCAAATATTAATTGAGGCATATGGTTATCATTGTGTGCGGTCCGTGAAGAGAAAAAAAATGTGTGTTTTTTTCGATTCGTTGGCGTTTTCGCTTGGAATGATTACATGAATGAAACGAAACACAAGAAGTGAGGTAATAAAAACAATTTCAATGTTCGAAAAAAAAGTTGAGAAAAAGAAAAGAATAAACGGAGCCTTCTCGCTTAGCACACTACTTACATTTAAACAACTACACAGCATTAATCCTCTATCGATTTTCAATCTGCACTTTTCCCTCCTTCGCTCTTGTTCACGCTCGCGCTCCTTCTCTTTGGGATTCTTTCATTAAAATGCATTTCAAGTTATACTTAATAATCCGAAGAGAAAAACGCCCAAGTGAAAAATACGAGCGAGAACATCGAAAAAAAGAAGCGATAAGCAATGAGTGTATGTAGAAAACTAATGAAGTTCCACGCTATTTTCTCAACTGATCGCTTCCATGCTTCATCCAGATAGAAAGAGTCAAACGCCAAACTAATCTGTTTTTTTTTTGTTCTTGTATTTTGAATGCACCAAACCAAAATGCGGACGCATTAAATAATTCAAAACGTTTGCCGCATTCTTGACGATGCAAAATCAGCAGAGAAAAAAGTCAAATAACAGAGAGAGAGAGAGAGAGAGAGAGAGAGAGAAAGAATCGCGCTTGTATTATTTCTTCCTTGCGTTTTGCAAACGACGAAGAAGAATGGAGGAATTTAGCGTTTGTGTCACCATTCTTTCTCTTGATTGAGCTACAATTTATAGCGAAGCGGAAAAAGAAAAAGAAGAAGATGGAAAAAAAATAACTCGAAATAGTCGAAGACGTTCAATAAACAAGTAAATCGATGTGTGCAAGTCGCACCCATTCAAAACACTAATCTCAATGGCATCTCCAATTTATTTAAATATTCTTCATTTATTTTATAAGTTCGTGCAATTATTTCCATGATAGCCTTCATTACTCCGAAGCGATGCTGGAATTCTCTCTTGTTTGATTTTGTTTCGCTCTCTCTCTCTCTCTCTCTCTCTCTCTCTCTCTCTCTCTCTCTCTTGCTCTTCCTGTGTGCAGCACAGCTCCACAGCATAAAATAGAATCAGCGCGCAATGAGGCGTGCATGTATATCGACGAACAAATAGCAAATCGTTAGAGAAGCGAACGAAGAAAAAAAAACAACAACAAGCCATGCAAAGTTTTCAAACGATCAAACGACAGAATTGAACGAGAGTAGAAAAGAAAAAAAAATGCCAAGAGAAATGTCGAAACATTGACGACAACTCGAACAAGAGAAACAATAGAAATTATGCATAAACGAAAAAGTCACATATGGATGCGCTTGTAAGCTCAGCACACCAGAACATACATGCACGGTTTTGCGGAAAGTATAAGTGGCGACAGCCGGATAAAAAGTACAAAATACGTCACATGCATACACACAGGGAGAGAGAGAGAGAGAGAGAGAGAGGGAGAGAGAGGGAAAAAAGGAGGAAAAATCAGTTTGATTCTTTCTCTATCCCGTTCGCATTGTATCGTGTGTCGCAGATTGTATGTTGGTTCGGTGTTTGGTGTAAATGGCTTTGCTCAGAGCGCTGCTCTCTGTGTCGGTCGGTCGATCACCATAATTTAGTTTGTAGCGATGATGCATTTTGTCAAGAAAATTGCATGCGCGCTGACTGAAACCATAGACAATTTATGTGAAACATTATTGATATTAGTTCCAAACAACGATAAATGTGCAAACACAGCCAACACAAGCGAACCGTTGGCAGAAAAAAGACGATGATGACAACGACGACGACGACGACGACGAAAAAAAAACAACAACCGCGAACAAACTCCGGACAGGAATTAAAATGTATAAATTGTGTCTTTTCATGTCGTTAACGTGTAAAATGCGCGCGTGAAATCACGAAAAATTTCCGCTTATTCCACTATTATTTACCGTTTCCATACAATTGTCTCTCTTTTTCCTCCAAAGCCATGGAATAAACACCGCTACAAAATAACAAGCGAACAAGAAGATGAAATAAACAGGAAAAAAAACAATATACCGACTCTGAGTGTGCTTTGCGAGAGACAGAAAATTAAGTGTAGATTGAAGTAAATCAAAACATCCAGTTAAATCGCCATATATATTCAAAATGTCAGATAATGGGTACACATTCAGACAAAACGACCCATTCACACAGCGTACCAGCAAATAAACACTTTAGCAATGCAAAACTTTTACATCATTTGCAAAGCCATTTCCAATGGGAAACATCACATTTTGCCGAAAAACTCGAAGAAAATTCCCTAATTTACTTGTTCCCATAAAAAATCCCAGCGCTTGAATAATACGGACCGAAATCACGTTCACGCACACATACTATACGTAAATATATCACTGTTTGTTGAAATAAATAATGAGATATTCGAGAGCAAAATATGAGCAAACATATGAAAACCCATGTATTATTTAAGCAGAAAGATATTGCGAGGAGGAGAGAAAAAAAGAAGCAAACGAGAGCACCAGCAAACAACACAGAGGCCAACATTGAGTTATATTCGACTTGAAATACAAAACGGATCGATGTAGTATTTTTGGCGCTGTCTTGTCGACTCTTTTTTTTTCCTTTTTCATTCACTCACTCATTCTGTCGTTCCGCGAGTATTTATGTTTAGTTGTTGGTGTCATTCAGACGCATGTTTGGTGTCACATTTTTCGTTTGTTTTTCATGTGAACGGAATAAAAAAAACAAACGCGGGCAAGCACACACACACACATATATACACATCGAAATGACAAATATTGACACGCTGCAGGGAATTTCATTGTAATTGTTGCCTTTGATTTGACTCTTTTCGCACGATTGCTGTCAAAATGGTTTTGCCGCAATTTTCCTACTCTGTAATTTTCATGCGCTCTGATCAATATTTACCATTGTAAATTCTGTTTGAAGTGTGAAAATGTGCAATTTCCACTTTAAATTACGGCTGCAGCACCACAAAAACTAGCGATTAATTTAACCATTTTTCCCGACCGTTTAAGGATTACAGTTTTTTTTAATTAAAAATTCTAACTAAAAGCTATAATTAAAAGCGCTTTGTTGTTAATTAACATTCTTTCTTTTTCAAATCGTTCTGTTTCGTTTTGCATTTTCAGTGAACGGCGGTTGGAGCTTATGGAGCCAATGGACAGAGTGTCGATGCCCAGGCAGATCGCCAATTGGACAGAAACGCACACGTAGCTGCAATAATCCGATGCCATTGAATGGCGGAGGCACATGCAGTGGCCCGAATGTGCAAAAAACCCCTGACTGTCTACCTTGTCCAGGTATGTAACACACCCTATCTATCCATTTAGCAAAAAGAACGAGAATCAAAATAGTGAAACGAGAAACGGAAGTAATTGAATAATTTATATGCGTTTATGGTTTCGCTGTTATTTTTCGATTAAAACGTCTAGCTTCTTCTAAATGGGTATATTTGACTATAAATTTGCCAGGAACTTATTAATTAAAGTGTTAGCCGAGCCAAACACAATTCAAAACGTGTCTTTCTATTCGTTCACATCTATCGAAATGAAAACCTCATTTAGGGGGATTGTATTTTACATATGTTGGCCAGGAAAAACTTTTCGATCGAAACGAGTATGTTTGCAAATTTTCAGTTATCGCTTTGCATGTGTGTATGCGCTTGCTTCCGTCTCTCTCATTCGTTTCACAAAACCGCTGTAATTTGCGAATTATGTGTGTGTGTGTGTGTGTGATTTGAAAATGTGAAAAGTTCCAGTTTTACACATGCTGGAATTGAACACAAAGTTACTCACTTTATTGCTTTTATTGCCCATTAGAAACAATAGCACACAGTGCAAACACATCACAAGTCTTAATGCGTTCAATGGAAAGACAACAGAGAAAAAAAGAACCCGGAGTATATAATTCAATGCATTCATTTCCGTTTTGAAGAGCTAAACGGGAAAAAAAAGTGCATTGAATTTTGTGTGGCAAAAATAAATCAGGCGGCTCGGTTTTGCATTGTGGTAGTAGCAATGGGTAAAATGCGAGTTAGATTATTGCTAATAGTTTTGTATGAACAATTTCAAATTTAGATCAAAGTGTAGTTAATGTATGTGTTTGCTGTGTACGGCCGTCGGCGGGGTGAATCCCAACGACGACGCTAAAAAGAATCGTGAAACGGAATCGTACGTGAAACGAAAGCAAAGTTTAATGAAAAATGAATGCCGCAACAATAAAAAAAAGAGAAAAAGATTTGTTGTAGGCGACTGAACAGAAAGAACATGGTGTATGGCGTGTTGGGAAAAATTACACACTAAACAAACCATTTAAAAGTACCATAAATAATATATGGTCGTCTCGATAACCACGAAGAATGGCAAGGCAAAAAAAATAGCACGAACACTCGTTCACAAAAACGGCAGAAGCGGCAGCAGCAACAGCAACACCGACACAAAACCACTTCAATTTCAATCGTCATTCGAAAAAGAAATGCACACTGGAAATAGTGAATGAAAAATTGTCTGGTTGCACATTCAAACCCATTGACGATTATATGCGATTACATTTATCCGCTCTTAGCCCCATCACATACACACACACACACACACCTTTCTCGGTATGGCAGCAGGTGAAATGGAACCGAGAGAGAAAACAAGGAAACAATCGCACACCGAATGCCAAAAGAAATACACAAACTGAATGCAAAAATACTTCAACAAGTCTAGGTGAGAGGAGCCCAGTGGCTCATGTGTGTGAGCTAGCTAGCTAGCGCGCGCGCACATCGAGAAATGAATAAACATACACGTTATCCATCGATGTCTACAACAACTGTTTGAGACAACGAATAGGAATTATGGTGATTTTGCATGTCGATCCAGTCGTTGAGAGAGTGCAACGAAAAGCGAACACAACGACGACGACGTCGAACAACCAACAACCAAAACGCTTTATTTCATTTTCGTGAGATTTGTTTGCATTTTTTTTTGCTGTTGTTGGCCATTCGGCCACCGCTGCCGCCGCCACAGAAAGAATGCCATCGACTAGGGAAAGAACGAAAAAAATAATGAAACCAAAGTGAAACCCAGAGAGAGAGAGAGAGAGAGAGAGAGAGAGAGAGAGAGAGAGAGAGAGAGAGAGAGAGAGAG